TAGGGATCAAGCCCAGGTCACCAGTGTTGGCAGCACATGCTTTACCCACTGGGCCATCTTGCCAGCCTGTGACATCTCTGAATGCTGCTAAAATGGCTGGAAAATAGGGAAGCAGCTGGCCACCATGGGAGTGAGGAGACTTTCAGCCAGAGACCACATCATTGGGAGAATATTCTCCAAACACATGAAGTGACAGAAGCAATGTGTAAGGGGACAGGGTGATGACAGGGTCTCACCTGCACATTCCAGGAGCACACTATGGACTTATCACAATTACTAAAACATGAATACTTCAGCCAGGTTGCAGCCTCATCTGCCAGCAGCCACCAGCCCACTGAGTGTCCACCAGCCACATTTCTTGTTGGGTCAGCAGGGTCCAGGATCACAGGCCTGCAGAGCAACATTCAGAGAGGGAATTGACCATCTGGCCAGTGTCCTAGGAAGCATTCACAGGGGAAGTGGAGGAGCCCAGCAGAGCACCACTATCCAAAGTTTGTCCTGAGTCCCTGCCCTATATCATAGAGCAAGCCTGGAGGGATGCTTTGCCCATGACCTGGAAGGCCTGGGTTCCAATCCTCTACCCTTTAGTAGCTGTGTGTCCTGAGGTAGTACCTCAAATTCTCTGATCTGTGAGATGGAGAGAGTTGAAACAACCAGAATCAAAGGATGAGGTGTGAGGGCTGAACACAACACAGGATCGAGAGCTGTCACTATCTTGGGTGACGAGTCTACTGTAATATTTACAGCCTCACAGCCCTTATGATACTGTTTCTACTGGAACATCTCAGTTCCCGCTCTGTGTAGTCCCCCCACGCTCTGCTATCTGTGTCTGGACAAGGTCACAGTCTTGGTCTCCTCATCTGCAGACAGGAGAGCCCACCCCTGCCTCCCAGGGCTATTGGTCCTCATGTCAATCAGCTGACAGCAGGACAGGGCCAGCACTGTGACAGGACAGGAGATGCTCCATTGACACAGAATCCCATCTCCCCATTTCTGCTGCTGCCTAGACTACCCTGTGGGGCGCTGAGCCATGAGGGGACAGGCTACCTGGCTCTTCTGAGCTGTCTGTGCAGGTATTTGGAGATGTATTGGTCTTCAAAGTCATAATACACTGTCCAGTAGATTCGAAGCTGCCTGTACTTGGTGACCAGTTCCAAAACTGTCCGGAAGCCCTGGGCTGTGTTGAAATCAGGGGCTCCACTCCCACGTTCCCAGGCATAGACTGTGAGCAGCTCCAGGGCATACTGGGGGGGCAGCGGCTTCCCCAGCTTCTCCTCACACTGAGAAGAGAAAGGCAATGAGAAAAAACAGGCTGTCAGTCAGCTGTTGTGTGGGGACCACTTCTCACGGGGTCAATTCAACTCCCACCTGATGTTGTCATTACAGGTTTACAGGCACACACCCACACCCATTCATGTAGAGTCAGTCTATGGACCCTCCTGTGCTGTAGCCAATGACTGAGTAGTTGAGATGGAGACTGTGTGGTCTACAAAGACTGAGCATTTACCAGCAGGCACAGGAGGAATCATGGCACAGTGATTGACAGCCAGGGAGTGAGGGTGGGTGTGGGAGAGTAATGATGCTCACTATTGAAGGTTTATCACAGGCTCTGAGATAACTGGGGAGGGGCTAGGGGGACGGCCCAGTGAGTAAAGTGCCTGCCCTGCAAGTGTGAGAACTGGAGTCCAACAGGCACCTGAATGCCAGGCTGGTGCGGAAACCCATTCATAGTACCAGCTTCAGGGTGGAGAGGGGGGGCTCCCTAGGGCTATGTTATTATTCATGCTGATTCAGCACACTGTGGGTTCAAGTGTGAGACCCTGCCTGGATATACAAGTTTGGGAGTGAGTGAGGACCTGGCATCACTCTCTGGCCTCCACAGGCTTATGCACACACATATAAACACATAGACATCCTCTCCCTAGAACAGGTAATCATACACAAACAACACACACACATTTAAAGAGACCCTGAAAACAATGAGAAATCTCCCGTTTAAAGAGCTAAATAGCTTCAAAGGACCAGAAAATAGAAACCAGAGAGAGTGACATGAAGGATTTGTCAAGGAAGGAAGAAAAATCCAAAGACACATGAAGCAGCAGCCAGGGAACAATGGATTAGACCTGGGTGAAGAGAGAGTTAGCTGACTGGATGGTGGACTGGAAGAAATCAATTGGAACAAGCAAGCAAACTCCTGCTCCCTCCCAGGTGCCCTACCTCCCCTTACCTCCTCCTACAGCATCACCTTCTCTTTCTGTCTCCCCTCACCTCTCTCTTCTCTCTCATCTCCTCCCCTCTGCTTTCTTTCCCTTGTCTTCTTTCTCCATTTTCTATTTTTCTCACCTCTTAGGTTATATTTTTCTTTTTGTCAATCTGACTTAGTCATATGGAGAAGATGGACCCACAAAAGAGCTAACACTTCCATCAGACTTAACGGTAGACAAGCCTGTGTGACATTTTCTTGCTCAATCATTGAGGTGGGAGGGCCCAACCCACTGTGGATGGTGACAGCCATGAGCAGGAGGTCACGGTTTACGTGAAGAAAAGCAGGTTGAGCAGGCCAGGTTTTTGGCATTCTGCCGAGTCCCAGCTGCATGACTGCCCATGCGCAGTTCATGAGCTAAAAAGGGGTCTTGTGTCTTATGTCACCATGTGCTGGTGATTACGTGCACATGGCATGGTCATGCAATCCGCGCATGCCTGGTGTAGCTCCATAAGCCTGCCTGCTCATGTTCATGGGAACCCTTAAAAAGCAGGACACAGACCTCTTCCCCTCTCTCTTTGTTCTGTTCTCTCTTTCCCCCACAATCTTTCTTTCTCTTTCTGTTCTCTGCCCGTGCATCTCCCCCAGGCCTGGTTTTCTGCTCCCTTCCTCCTAATAAATCTCTGATACTGGGTTTTGTTGTGACTTTTCTCTGCAGTTACCAGTGCCGGTAACCAGCGCTGCATATCATTTAAAAAACCAACACAAGGTATCAGGCAGCAACTGATGTTCCTTCCTGGCCACTGCTTCACTTCCTGCCTTCACTTCCTGCCTCAATTCCCTCAGTGATGGAGTGTGATGTGGAAGTGTAAGCCAGACAGCCCTTCCTCTGTAAACTGCTTTCTGCCATCATCTTTACCACAGCAATAGGATGAAATCGGTCCTAGAGACTGGACTACTGCTGGGACACTCCCGCCATGTTGCTCTTTGGGAGAATAGTGGAAGGATTTTGGAACTTTGGGTTGGAAAAGCTATTGAGTGCTCAGAGCCTAAAGGGCTGTTTGTAGGAACTTGGAAGATACGAATGTAGAGAGGCAGATGACAGAGGCTGGTGTGTGAGGTTTCAGAGGGAGGCAAAGATGCTATCTGGCTGTTTGTATGAGATCTTGAATTAAGGATCATAGTTTCTCATCAGCTGGGACTGAAAATCAGCTCTGAGTAAGAAGAGACCTGCACCATGGAGGCCAAGTCTTCTGGAAAGAGTTTCCTCATGGTCACACACAGAAGCTGTGGTCCAGGGGCCCAAGACTGCCTCTCAGGGTGACAGCCAGACCTGGTAATGTGGAGAGGTCTCCCAGATAGTTCTATTTTAGTCCCTCTAAGGCTGCAGGATTGAAGGGGTCATGGAGAACAGCTGAGGCCTGGTACTGAGAGAGGCCAGGAGAGGCCAGTGGAGAAAGTGCAGCCTCAAGTGTAGTAGAGACCCCAAGATACTGGAGTCCCCCTGAGCATGAGACCACTGACAGGAGAGCAGAACATGTGAACAGAGCTGACCTGAGCCTGTGAGACCAGCTGTGGGCTGTGAATGGCAGAGCCTGAGATGAACAAAGCTCAGAAAATGGTGAGTCCCAGACATCAGATATTGAGCTTTTTGTACTGTTGGATTTGGTTTTGTTTGATCTGATTGTGACTGTTTCCTGGTTCTTCCCTTGTGGAGTAAGAAAGTATTTAAATTGTGTTTTTAACTTTTTAGAATCCCACAGTAAGAGACTAATGTATATAAGTTTTGGAATTTAAAGAAATAAAAAACTTTAGAATTTTAAAGCTGTATTGTGTTTATAATGTGATCTTTACATGAGATCTTAGAGATAAGTAAGAAAGGAAAGACTATGGTTTAATACAGTGTGTTTAAGTATCTACTTGAAAGTGTGTTCTCTGTAAAGGTTAGTTTTTGTCAATTAGACATCAGATAAAGTCATTTCTAGGGGGGACCCTTAATCAAGACAATGCCTCCAACCCACTGGCTTAGGGTAGCCTGTGGGGACATGTTCGTAAATAGTGACTGAGGTGGCTGGTGCCATTGCTGGGCAGGTGACCCTGACTCGTATATAAATGCAAACTGTGGGCCATGGAGAGGAAGCAGAATTCCTCCATGGTCTCTGCTTCAGTGACTGACCTTTCTGCCTTTAGTAATGCATTGTGACTGGGATGTGTGACCTAATGAGACCTTTCCCTTCCAAAAGAGTCTTGGTCATGTGATAAAGATATCACGTCTATAGAAAACAAACTAGAATACCCCTTCTTATCTCTGTCCTGCACCCACCCCCTGTACGGAAGGGGACCACATTGACTGGGCTGGAAGACATACCAGCTGGTACCAGTGCTTGACCAGGCGGATGAGATTCATTAGCTTGTCTGGACGATCCTTCAGGAAGTTGTGCTGGAGCTCTGTGAAGCAGGTGGAGAACTCGCCCTCCAGCCCCAGGGATTTGCACTTGCTGATGAGATCAATGTAGATTTGGGCGTCAGGTTTCTTTTTGGTACTGACATCACCTGTCAAGAAGGCTTCACTCAGTTAACAACCCAGCCCTTCCTGAGGTCCCTTGATCTCTTGAGGGTGACAAGCACACAGGCTGTGTGGTTCAGTGAATAGAGCAGAGTTTTACCACAGCAAGCCTCACTCCCCATACAGCCATGTGCCCCACCACACCTCAGGACTGCAAACACCATGTGGCCCTGGAAAGTCCTGCCCACAACGGGTCCTAGTACAGTGCCTTCCTCACAGGCCTGGAGACAGCGGTGGGAGGAAGCAGCATTTTATTGTCACACACGAGAGAGCTGCAGGGTCATCTAATGATGGCCACCCATGCTCTGGTGTCCAGTGTCTTCTGCTTGGGTCTTGTCGCGTGTGAGTGTGTGTGTGTACACTCCTGCTTGTGTCAGAGTTTACCATGGAGCAGTCTGCTGGATTTGTATATCA